TTTTCTTTTAAATTCCCATATGCCTTAATATTTAATTCGCGCAAGAGTACAGAAAACAAGTAGAGTGCTGGCGTTCTCTCTAAGTTCGGAAAAATTGTATTTCGATATTTGGATTTAATGTTAAGACTTTTCGAAATATTGTCCTAGTTTCTAAATTTGGATTTTGGACATTCCCCAAATTTTTGGACATATCCAGGATCATTCTGCGACGTCTGTCTGCATTTTATGCTGTCTGCATTGAGAGAAATTATTGGATAAAAAATTAATAAACGGATATTTTCGATCAAAATACCGATGAATTTTTGTATCCTATCAGGAAACATCCCATGAGAGATATCGGTTCATAATTTTTGGATCGGTTTATCTGATGAAACGCCATTACGATCGGAAGTATTTGATTAAATTTAATCGAATATCCTGCTCGAATATAAAAATTTATCAGTATTTTGATCGGAAATATCCGGAAAATATCGGAAATATTGTTAATTTTTTTATCAGATAATTTCTCTCAGTGTGGGATTGCACTTACTATGAAAACAGTTTACCTCACCACGATTATTTTACTATACAGTTATAGGAGATATTTTTGGGGACAATGTGCGTCGTGATTCACGTGCCGTCTTGCACACGCGGCCGAAAGTTACACCGATAAACAATCATCCAGGTCAAACGTATGTGAGCGCGCACGCATTTACGCACGTACGTACGTACGAAACGGACGAGGAAACCGTCAATTGGGCTTCATAAAACAGCTTATTCGAGGCTGTTAAAAAGTAGTACGATCCGATAATACGAGAGAGCCAGAGCCAGCCAGCCATCAGCCAGCCAGTCAGCCAGCCGGCCGGCCACGTGGGGCGTCCAGCAGTGACGTAAGCGGCGGCGATTTCGTCTTGCTCCGGCGATTCGGGTGCGAGATGCAATGGAATTCCGTTATAACCGGGCTGCAGCCGGGCGTGCGAATCGCGTCTCGAATAGAAAAGCGGGAGAGATATTTTTGCAAACTGGATTCTCTCTCTCTCTCTCTCTCTCTCTTGGCCGCGAGTTTGCGATACAACGTTAGAGAATGACGCGATTCTAACTTTTATTTTTGCACACCGAAATACAACAGCGTGTTGTCGTGTATCTACCCGATTCAGCGAGCAAGCGTATTTGTCGCGCGCGTGCGAATTTCTATTTTAGGATGTAGTATTAAAAATTAAGCCTTTAAAATCAGAAGAGTTTACAAGTCACAAATTTCTGAATTCTGAGATGAGAATGTAGAATTTTTTTGTAAAACCTTTTGGTGTGAAATGTAAAAATTAGATCCTGTAAAATGTAGAACGTCCAAGTTATATGTTGAGGAAAATGTTTAGTCATTGTGACTATAATTATATAGTCACATAATTGCATAATGGAATAATTATAGACAGAAAAACCGTTTTTTTAGTAAGTACTATTATCTTAGATAATATTTTAGCATAAAACGTCTCAGAATGATCTTGAAATATGTCTAGGATATCCTAGATAGTACCTTAGGATGTAATTCAGGATAATCGCAAGATGTTTTGTGCTATCTAGGACAGTATCAATCAACATTAGATAAATCAATATTTTTTTATACTAAATTAAGTTTAAAATAAATGGCTTATAAGATTAATTTAATTAAATTAAAAATTACATAAACAGAAACTAACTTAATTAAATTAACTTGTTATGGTTAAAAGTTAATTATGCAAAGCATACATAATATGTACATAATATGTAAATAAGCATACATAATATGTTTTTTTCCATAATGAACTTTTTAATCGTAGATTAAATTTATTTATGTGAAATAAAATGAAATAAATGTAAAATAATAAAAATATAGTTTTTAAACAGCCTACAATGATTTCAATATTGATAAATTATTTTAACTTCCTAAAAAAATTAATGAGTTAAAATTAGTACATTCTAAAATAACCAATTTAAGTTAAAAGTTAGATCATTTAAAATTAATTAAGTTAAAAGTTGTTAATTTTTTAACTTAACTTTAAATGATTAGTTATTATCCAACTCTATAATATCAGTATATTAACTTTATATGCATATTGCTACTTTTAATTTTTTGTTAGAACAACAAATAAATATGTTTAACACCGAAAAATTATTATAATTTCAATGAGATTAAAAAATATTTAAAAAAAAATATATAATAGAATATCATAGAATTCAGAATTTTCTATTGTAGTACATAGAATTTAAAATCCAATGTTCAGCATTCGGAGTATTTGGAAATCATAAATATATGATCTAGAAGAAGTATTTTTTAGACCTAATTTTAGAATTTAGAGTTTGGATATGAAAAATTTAGAACGTAGAACATACAGAATACGTACGAAAAAAAATATTTGGTCTTGGTCATGATAATATAACTATAAATTTCTAATGAAATAGTTCTAGAAGAAAACCATTTGTTTGTGTAAGAACTGCGTTACGGTAATATTTAAATTAATATTTATATCTTAATATTAATCTTATATGCATACAGTTACCACTACTTTTTTTTGTTGGAGCAACAAGAAAGTATAGTTGGCGCGAAAGTGATAGCTTTCTATTAACAGGATCGATTATTCGTTTTCTCTCATCGAGTATAATCGAGTATCACAGATCTGGAATACAGAATTTTTATTTTCCTCCGCGTTTTCGCACGTCACATGGACGTTCCGCTCCTCATAGCCGTGTAGAGTGTCGTGCTATCGATCAGGCGGACACGGAGATTGAAACAAAGGATAGTTATCAGCGAGGAAAGAAAGCGTTATCGGCGCGACTGAGGTCTTCTTGTTTCTCACGTGTTGTTATATACGTTACAATGAACTTTATGGGGCGAACTTTACCGCGCTCGCGCGATATAGCCGCGCTCAAGGGGACGATGACCCAACGACAATTTCAACTGCGTAAACATACAGCATCGCGGCTGTACATATGTACAGTACGCGCGAGTACCGCAGCGAGCAACCACAGCTTCCGTCATCGGTCGACTCATTCGAGAACTACTGATACCAAGTCGTCTCCGTCGGTAGGAAAGACGTTAAATCATTCGGCCTTGAGTTTCTAACTACTAGGACGCGAAATTTTTACAGTCTGATTTACGTACATTTAAGGTTGTTTTAAGTTCATCTTAAGGTACAATGTAGTTAATATGTCAAACGGTCTTAGCAGCATCTTAAAATAAATTTGAGATAATTTTAAATATAAAATTGGACTGTATATGTGGGTGCTACTTATGGTCAGATCTTAAGATCTTCAATTTCATTTTAAAATATCATGTATTAATATCATGTCAATTATAAGATATCATATAGACAAAATGTACTTCACAGCACTTTAAATGTGAAATTGAACTATAGGTAATATTTATAATCCAATTTTATATTTAAGATTGTCTTAAATACACCTTAAGGTGTGTCGTAGATAATCTCAAATGATCTTAAAATTAATTTAAGACGATTTTAAATATAAAACTGGATTATATATAAGTGATACTTATAGTCAGATCTTATATTTAAGATCACCTCAATTTCATTTTAAGATGTTATGTCGTCAACAGACTTTACTTTAAGATGACTTTAAATATAAAATTGCACTATAAGTAATATTTATAATCTAGTCTTATATTTAAGATCGTCTCAAATTTATCTTAAGGTTAGAACATCACACTTGAGTGCACCACACTCATGCTATTGTTGAAACGTCCCCCGTTCTTACACAGTGAAAGGTAGGGGGTCGGGATTGGAGGGGAAAAAAACTTCTGTCTTGTTTCTACAGTTGCCCATGCTGCGCAGCCCCATCTGCTGTTTAGCAGTTGTAGGAGACTCTGTTGAAATCAATCTTGGCGCGTTAAAATGCTTCATATTAAAAAAATATAAAAAAAAATTATTTCATTTTTTTTTAAATTACATCTCTCATCTTTGATAAATTACAATTGATCTCATAATAATACGAAGTTACAAAGAAACCTATAAATTTTCAAGCAAGTAACTTTGTTGTGATTAAGGAGATTTCTATTAGGTCTTTTTGCAAAATTAATATTTTTTTAGAAAATATCAATCATAATTAATGATATCTATATATTCCTAACATTTTGATTGTTTAAAGTTAAAAAAAATATATATTAAAAATATCCACTTTTCGAGGAAATATTGATGGTTGAAAGTGCTAGATGCACTTAGTGTGGTGAAATTGAAATTCAAAAGAAATATGATATTCTAAAATTAAGACTCAAAACTGCTTTCATTCAAACTGATTTACAATATCTTAAGATAAATTTAAGGTGACTTTAAATATAAGATTGGACTGTATGAGAATTGTATATATAAATAGATCTTATATTTAATCACAAGTTCATTTTTGAATGTTTTATAGCTAATGAAACTATTCTCTTACAGCATCTGAAGATGAACTTAAGACGATCCTAAACATAAGATCAGATTATGAATACTATCCATGGACCGATCTCATATTTCAAATTGTTTTAAGTTTATCTTAAGATGTAAGGGCCACTTGAAGTGAAGTTAAGCAGATCTTATATTTAATGAGCATTCTACAATAAACCATTAGTTTGTAAGCCGTAGACAAACCACAGTCGATTATTTTTGAAAATAATCAATTTGCTTGCGGCTAATGGCTTATTCTAGAAGGCCTATGAGACCTATGAACGCGACCTTTCTAATGATTCCCACCAAGTACTGATTAAGCTAGTTGGTAAAATAAACGGTAGAATTGCCAACAGTAGTTTTTATTCGTGTAATAACAATTATAAATAAATAATCTTTATCTATTTTAACAAAATACGACACATAGCACATCGACGAACAGCGATTTTAAGTAGTCGACTAGACTAATCAGAGTTATAGTCAGATTAAAAGTCATCGTTAGATTCTAACATCGCTTGAGAGTCAGTCGAAATTAAATGAATTTACCGAAAATCTGCCTAAGGGATACCTCCGGAGATGTGTAATGAGACGATTTTGTCTGTCCAGTTCTGTGCCCGTTGGGATTGATCGACCCAAGACTCCCTTTATTCGAAGTACCAGATAAACAGAAGGAAGTATGAGCAATCCCTACGCCGCGGTGTATCCGCCGGGTCCGGGGTATCCCGAGTTACAACAGCCGCCGATCGCGACGGCACCGCCACCCGGTATGTTCCCGATGCCGATGCCGATGCCGCAGCCGCAGTCGCAGCCGCAGCCGCAGCCGCAGCCTCATCCAAACGCAGCCGTAATGCCGCAAGGTAAAGGGAAATCTATTGTAGACATGTCTATTCTGTATTCTATGCTCGACACACAGAGAGAGAGCTCAGACTGTCTGTCCGTTTCGAAACGGCTAAAGGAAATGCTGTCTGCGATCTTGACAGCAGATGCGACGTATCCGCCCGTGCTCAGAACGTCAACGATATTCTGGGAACGTCAATAAAATAATTATTAATTTTCATTTAACTCGCACGAGTGCGAGTTCGCCAACGCGAAATTCTGACTCGCAGCTGTGAATGTGTACGTATTTATGTATGTATATAAATTATATATCGTAAGAATTATATATAATTAAATATTTCATTATACAAATTCTATATTAATTATATAATTATATAATCATATATAAAAGCACTAAATATAAGTTATATTTATATAATTTATATTTATATAATTTAATTCATACATTTATATTTATATATTTAATATAAATTTAATTTAATTATATTTTAATTATTTTTAATTTAAAATAAATATAATTTATGTTTTGAGGCTTTATTCTTTAATACTTTATCATATTTTATGTTACTTATTTATTTTATGTTATTTTATGTATTTTATTTTACTTTATTTTACTTATTTCAATTATATTATAATATTCTTTACTTTGTTTTATAATATTGCTGCTAAATTATACATGTCATATATTCCTTACATCCTTAACATTTATTTTATTATTTCCTAACATATTATTATTATTAAATATAATTTATCAACAATATTATAAAGTAAAGTAAAGAATATTATAATACAATTGAAATAAATAAAATAAAGTAAAATAAAATACATAAAATAACATAAAATAAATAAGTAACATAAAATATGATAAAGTATTAAAGAATAAAGCCTCAAAACATAAATTATATTTATTTTAAATATAAAATAATTAAAATATAATTAAATTAAATTTATATTAAATATATAAATATAAATGTATGAATTAAATTATATAAATATAAATTATATAAATATAACTTA